CCAAAACTTGTTTCGAATCACAAGGACAGCACGTGGAACACATTCTGTAAAATTCCTTAAAGTGCCTATGGTTCCAGACTTTTCGGACACACTTTATATAGCTACTTTACTTCGGAAAATTGTGAAAAACAGCTAATTGAAGCTGTATTTCAGAGTAATTGACTGCTAACTCAAAAATTATAAAATAATACACACACACACACACACATATATATAAATCTAATAAAAAAACTTACACTTCGTAATAAATAAAGAAGTCGATATTATGTGTTGATATGTACATTTTGGATGATGCTAAATTAAAGGATAAAGTAATCGACTTTATTCGACCTCAAGTAAAAATAAAGCTAATAATGATCGGTAAAGTTTATAAATAGAAACAATAATTTATCCAATAAAACTGGGAAACTGAATATCAGTGATGACATAAATTAAAAACAAAAAACGCTGTTTTCTATTGTTACTAAATATAACTATTGGTGCACATTTTGTTTATACATACACACATCTTTATACTCTGGTATTACGAGATTCCAGCAAAAGCTGGGACTCTGGTTTTATTCACTTTATAATAGTACAGCATGTAACACGAATAACGTATTGAATAAGAAATCCTGTACCACGATCAGCTAATACTACAGTTTCGTACTATGATCTCACCAGATCATACGCGTAATGTGTATAAGGAAGAAACGCGCAACCACAGAATTGATGAGTAAACACATATTTATCGAACGTTTCGGAATACACGCATTCCATATCTAGCAAATTCCTACAAATAACAACCTAAATACTGAATAGAAACATTTGTAAGGCGAATATTGAGACTCAAAGGGGTGGGTGGGTAAACGAGAAATATAACTAATGAAAATGATTTACAACAGATTTAATTTTTTTAACGGAAGTAGAGATATTATTTAAGTTAAAGATAATTTGCTTAATAAGAAGACTCTCTTTCCAAATTTGGACAGTCTGTTGGTAAATCTTTTAAAGTTATTGATGGAACTGTGTGTCCAGGACTTCTACTGTGCGCGCCTGTATGTGGGAAGAAGTAGTTGAAAGATATGATATAAAGTGACCAGTTATGTATACTAGTATTTAGATGTGGGAGATACATTAGTGCAGGTTCAATGAATGTCCACAACTAGTTCCTGCCGTTTCCTGTAGGGAAAGAGAGAAATGTTGACATTCTCAAACGCGCCTTTTCTGTGAAATAATAATAATAAACGTGTACGTATAAATAAATTACATATTGTTGCATATCTGCTTGTTTGTTAATTTCCCGTAGAAATTCTTTCTGAGAAACTTCAGCGACACAAGTCCTTTCTTAATTAAAACTAGTTTATTCTTTCTCGATATAAATTTGCAATACACAGAATTTCCACAGTCAATACGTTTGTAATCTCGATAACAAAACACACACTTTATATTACCGTCACTACCGCTCGCTTGACTCAATTATCTGTCTCTATATCTATCTCCGGCTTATATACTAAAAAAAAAGAGGGCGTCTAGCAAACGCTGGGACTATCGTGAGGTTACCCGCTAAGTCACGATCATTCTAGAAACTCCAGCGCGCATGCTCCCAACGTTGCGTGACTTCCGCTGTCGTAACAATATCAAAACATCCGTAACAATCTTTCGGTCAAAATACGAATTATTGGTATGTAATATTAAAACCCTGTTGATAGACTTTTCTATTCTCGTTTGAATTATGCTTCATCGGTGTACATCACGCAAAATTATATCAAACTTTATTTGTTTGTTGTTGTTGTTTTTGTATAGTCTGATTAAGGAATTGTATGTAAGTGCCCTTTGAGTAATAAGCGAAAAATTAAGATGAATATTAAAATATACAAACTTACAACATTAAGAACGGTTATACAAATTCGAATTGTCCTGAGTTTATAGTTTGTTGTACTAACTGGAGAATATTTGTCGAAAAACTAACGTAGTTGGCGGTGGGTGGTGATGACTAGCTGCCTTCCCTCTAGTCTTACACTACTAAATTAGGGACGGCTAGCGCAGATAGCCCTCGTGTAGCTTTGTGCGAAATTAAAAAGAAACAAACAGCTGTAAAGGCGATACGTTGGATAAAATAAACTCTGAAATTATTGTTCATTTTGCTAAATATTAAAGTAATAAATTTTGTTTTGAGTTTACTTACCGATTGAATATTATTTTATTTCAAGTTACAGCTTTTACAGTAACGAAGAAAAGAATATTTAAATCAACATTCAACGATCTTTAACTGTTGATTTAATTTCTAAAACCTTATTTACCATTAAAACTAGTGTACTTGAGAATGATCGCACCAGTGATCGAAATGTCGTACCTGTTCTAAAAATAATCTTCCTTACTGTAAAAGCTCTAACTTGTAATAAAATAAAGTATTAAATTGTTTACGAAATGTATATTGTTACCATAAAAATGATAACTGGTAATACTGTTGTTTCCCTCAGGGCCGTACCAAGGGTAGTGCGAGCGGTTGCGCCAGCACAGAGCGTCGATCCGTAGGGGTACAAGTTTACAATTTTCAAGGCAAAGATACATTGGTTTTTTTTTTGTTTTTTTTTTAGAAGAGGCGCAGAATTAATATCGCGCACAGAGCACCACCAATGGTCGGTAAAGCCCTGGTTTTCCTCTCAATAATACAAGAAAAGAGAAACAGAAAAAAATATCTATAGCCACTTCATAGACTACGATCATAGAGCCAGGTATCAAGTATTCTGGCATGCAGAAAACGTGAGAGAATTACAAAAAGACAAACAAACAAACTATTGAATTACTGAGAGTAGCAACTTAAGCAAGGCGTCAAATCTGCTGTTTTATATAATCCTCAGTATAACGTTTATATAAAGTTAGATAATCCGTTGATAAATCAAGGATAAGAATTAAACAGGTTATTTTTACGCGTAAAAAAGTGCCTTACTTTACTGAATGTTTAAAATTTAGCGTTGACAGGTTATTTTGATCAGAAATATGATCATTATGCAAAATGTACTTCCTTCTTTACTTCTGCTTTACTTTACTGAATGTGTAAAATTTAGCGTTTACAGGTTATTTTGATCAGAAATATGATCATTATGCAAAATGTACTTCCTTCTTTACTTCTGCTTTACTTTACTGAATGTGTAAAATTTTACGTTGGCAGGTTATTTTGATCAGAAATATGATCATTATGCAAAATGTACTTCTTTCTACGAAAACTAACTCGTTTCCACCGTTATCAATCTGTAATAAATATTTATATAACATTTGAAGAAAGCTTATAAGAGTCATAACTTATACTAGCACGCCAGCAGTTGATTTGTCAACAAATGTAACGATAAGCTCTGTCAGTAGCTGTAGCTGTGACAAAGTATAACATTACAAACTGATCGCTACATTCGCCTGCTACAACGAGGACAAAGCAAGTTTTCATGTTTCTCTAACTGTGCAGAGGAAAGTAAAAGGTTAAGTTATATATATATATATATATATATATGTTCTTTATTACTTATTAACCATATCGTAACTGAGGTTAAGGATTGTAGCTTGTTTTGTTTTTGTTTAAATTTTATGTATCGTGTTATTAACAAAATGTCAATCGCACATCGTAAGTTTTTTTTTAGTCACATTCTTTCTTGTTTCTGTTATTACATATTGACCTCGGAAAAATGTAAAAAAATCTTGCATTTGATTGTGCTTATATTTTTACGCAGATCATTTTTTTATAGTATTTCTCTTTAAAACATACTCACTTTATTGTTGTACTGACATTGCTAGTATTAATAGGATGATAACTTATTAACTATTTTATCTAGACTCGCATGGCTTCTAGACAAAGTCTAGGTTTGATTCTTTACGTTAAATGTGTCGTACAGGTGAATTCTCTAGGTCATCACGATTTTCTTGACCTACATCAACCCTAACCATCTGATATGATTGATGATTGTTTTTAAGATTGGATAGTCATGTGACTCTTTCGCCATCAGTTATTGGTTTCTCTTAAATAATCATCGTTACAACGTTTTACCAGAGATAGAAGGAACTACTATATTTAATTTTACTTTGATTGTTTTATCTTTTCGAATATACTCATGGGAGGTATGAATGCAGTTTTGTATTTGAACAGTTATTGTATATAGCGGATTTTCAACGTGACGAAGATAAATGATTGAAGTTAACAAAGTTGGTCGCTTTTATGTTTAAACAGTCTGGGCACCAGAACAATCAACCGCCATCACTATGGAAACCAACAGATTTCAACGTAAACCACGAGGTGAAGAACATCGAGAAGAAAATAAGGTGCCTTTACCTCACCTGCAGCTTAAAACAATGAAACAATACATCGATGTTGATGCGAATCAGAATAATGAAAATCCAAAAACAGAGGTAGGCCACTAGGTCTTATAACTTCATAAACAAACGCCCTACGCACGTAAAATATTATGTAACAAACCACTATTTATATCATTAAGAAATCCTAAGGAATATACGCTAGGGTATGGCTTGGTATATTTTTATTGTAATATTTACACACAGGTAATAAAGATGCTTAAAATAAAATATTAAAAGAACACAGCGGGTGAATTTCGAAACCAACGACTTTAGTGACTAGTAATACTTTTTTATATTAGAATACTATATGGTATAGGAATTTTTGTTTCGTGTTTCCTTGTCTTTATATCTATAGTCGACTCTACGTAATTCAGGCTAGTGTAGTTGTCAAACTGAACCCTGCAGAGACAGGTGGTTAGGGCGCTCGACTCGAATCTCCGTCACACCAAACATGCTCGTCCTTTTAGCCGTGGGGGACGTTATAATGTGACGGTCAATCCCACTATTCGTTGGTAAGAGTATCCCAAGAGTTGGCTGCCTTCCCTCTAGTCTTACACTGCTAAATTAGGGACGGCTAGCGCAGATAGCCCTCGTGTAGCTTTGCGCGAAATTCAAGACAACCAACCTTCAGAGCACTATAGTTTTTAAAAGTTGCTGATAGTGGCATATTGGATTTTGTTTTGTTTGTTTTTTACCGACATGTGAGTTTATGGGTTGGGGGCGTCAAGTACCGCAAATTGTTTTGAATTTCGCGCAAAGCTACACGAGGGCTATCTGCGCTAGCCTTCCCTAATTTAGCAGTGAAATACTAGAGGGAAAGCAGCTAGTCATCACCACCCACCGCCAACTCTTGGACTACTCTTTTACCAACGAATAGTGGGATTGACTGTCACATTATAACACCCCCACGGCTGAAAGGGCGAGCATGTTTGGTGGGACTCAGATTGCGAGTCGAGCGCCCTAACCACCTGACTATGCTGGACCGCCACAAACAAGAGAACACTTGAGCGCAGCACAAAAACTTTGAGAACCATTTACTCAGGTTAGGTAGGCTAAATTTAAATAAAATTTCACCTTGATGAGCAAAATTGTTATGCTGTTAGCAAACAAACAAATACGTATGAAGACAGAAATCACTGGCGGATCCAGGGGGTTGAGGGGTTACAACTCTTCACTACTTTCCGATAGATTATTCTTGTCTATTAAAGGTAGTTAGCCATAGACCTAATAAAGAAAGCTTTTTGTTTTCAAGTGGTTTCATGATATGGTCGACAGTGCGAACTTTAGAAGTGAAGGGGTTGCCTCCCCCTCCAACAAAACAGCTAATTATCACGCTAGCTACTTAATACGGCTACCGTGTTTACTAATTAATTATGAATTTAGAAAATCGTTGCTTGAAGTATATTATTCTAAAACAGTAGTATATGCAAGATCAGAGAGCTTTGAAACAATGATAAAAGCTTCATTTTATATAAATCTTTCCCTATTATGCACGTGATTACAATCCCATCGATCCATATTTGAACTTATATGAAAGCAAGACAGGGAAATAACCTTCATTAGAAGTATAAAGGCGGTGTTCTACCCTGAACAATAGGAGAGAGCTTTTTTTAGCATTCCATCAGGGCTATAACACTTCTAATGGAGAACAACTCCCCTTACCAAAAGTCATGTATCTATCCCTAGATATTAGCTTTTAACTTAATTATTTTTGAATTGTATTGCATATAATTTAGGGAAATTTTGAAAAAAGTTAGTGAAAACTATACTGTGACCTTCAGTTCGTTTTTAATTTTCTCATTTACAGAAACACTTAGAAATAATCAAACTGACATTGTAGGCTACATTGTAATATAAAAGCATACTTAGTTATTTTGTTTAAAATGAACGTATTAGTAGTTTTGAAATTATGATGATAAAATTCATTTTCAGTACTATTTGTCAGTTAGACATATATATATATATAAAGATATTCATTTATTAGATCATTGCCGCCAAATTGTATATTGTATGCTCAGTATTAAAAAAAAAAGGAAAATAAATTCATTATGTTTCGTAACACTGTCCAAGTGCCAACCATAGCAAGTATGAGACAATTAGGATAATCCTGCTATATCACATGTTCCACAAATAAATTACATGCTAGTGGGGGACTTAGGGGAACTTACCTTGCCAAAAATAAAAAAATAATTGAATGTTCGGAGAAGGTGCTTATTTCTAATTTTAAACGGAATTGAACAAAACTTAATTTGTTACTGTTTTATGAGAGATAAAAATTATGAATATATTTTAATCTTAAATACGGATTATCTACTATCTAGCTAAAAATGGCAGTATTAAAAGGCTTTAACTTCTTTATTGGCATGCAAAACCTTGCTATTTCAATGTGTAGATTTGGAATGTGTTTATTACATATTGTTACGTCTCCGTTTGTTAATTGATTTTTCCGTAACTTCGTTCCAACGAAACTTTAACGACACA